GTTATTATAATCATTAACATTACGATGGTTACCATTAACACTATTATAAATATCTGTACCATTTTTCATTTAGTCTATAGCAACATTACCTTCACTGTCTGTACCTCTGTGTGTATATTGTGTAGGCTGCCTCCCTCCCCTCTCTCTCTCCTTACATCCCTCTCTTTTTCTCTCTCTCTCTCTCTCTCTCTCTCCTTCACCCTAACTGGTCGAGGCAGATGGCCGCCCACCCTGAGTCATGGTTCTGCTCGAGGTTTCTGCCTCTTAAAAGGAAGTTTTTCCTTGCCTCTGTCGCCTAGTGCTTGCTCTTGGTGGGAACTGTTGGGCTTCTGTAAATATCATCACAGAGTACGGTCTAGACCTGCTCTTTTATGAAAAGCGCTGTGAGATAACTGTTGTTGTGATTTGGCGCTATATAAATAAAACTGAATTGAATTGAATTGAATTGAATTTGACTCCAAAGATGCTGTGTGTGCAATATTTTGGGGATTTTTTTCCCCATGAGCTGTAAGTCATAAACAAGATTAAAATAAAAAAAGGCCTCAGATATTTTACTTTATCTGTAATGAATCTACTGTAGATTCTAGAAGAGTTTCACTTTTTTTAAAATTAAATTGTAGAAACAAATGAACTATTTCACGATAGACTAATTTTCTGAGATGCACTTGTATGCACACTCACTGGCACACCTTAGGTACACCTTGCTAGTATTGGGTTGGACCCCCTTTTACTTTCAGAACTGAGACTTTGGTACATATTGACATGATAACATCATGCTGCACATTTGTCAGCTGCACATCCATGATGCGAATCTCCTGTTCCACCACATCCCAAAAGTGCTCTATTAGACTGAGATCTGGTGAATGTGGAGGCCACTGGAGTACAGTGAACTCATTGTCATGTTCAAGAAACCAGTTTGAGATGATTTAAGCTTTGTGACATGGTGCATTATCCTGCTGGTAGTAGCCATCAGAAGATGGTACACTGCGATCATAAAGGGATGGACATAGTCAGTAACAAAACTCAGGCTGACGTGTTTAATGCTCAATTGGTACCAAGGGGCCCAAAGTGTGCCTAGAAAATATCTCCCACACCATTACACCACCCCCACCAGCCTGAACCCTTCATACAAGGCAGGATGGATCCATGCTTTCATGTTGTTTACGCCAAATTCTGACCCTCCCATCTGAATGTTGCAGCTGAAATTGATCGATGGAGTCAGACCAGGCAATGTTTTTATGTTATTTAAAAAAAATGCATCAATGTCTGTGCACTCCACAAAAACAGTCCTGATTGGCTACTGATTCTTACAGCCTTGGAATGCTGAGTACATTCATCACCAAAATAAACTACATTAAATAACATCAGCAAGCTAACCAGCTGCCACTCAGCACCGAATGAGTCTCTTCCACTTTTTGTTGTTTAAAAACGCCACCATAGATAACCCCTGAGTGGACTGAGGGGTGTGTTTGATGTGTGTGCGCCAATTGCCACAATATGCTAACCTTACTACATGCGTCTTTCTGTTGTGAGCTTTCCCTGTCTGCCAATGTGGCAGATGGCCTGATGATTTCACCTGCAATTGGTAAGGGGCAGGTGCTAATTTCAGACCCTGCCAACAATACAGTTTTTAAAAAAAATACTTTTTAATCCATTTCCAGAAGAAATGATCACATATATACATATATGTAAATGAATGATTGCACCCATATAGTTACTTAAGAGCTTGCTGCAATGGCTTTAGGAGTGATTACTGAAAACAAATAGCACCTATTATTTGGTAACTGACATTCATTGAGAGACTAGATGTTTTTTAAGCATGAACCACTGTTTTATTTATCTTATATTTAGTGTTCTGTGTTTTAAATTGAATTAACTACAATCTAGATTTTGTCAACTACTATATGTTGAGTGATTGTACATGTTGTTAATTATACTATGAATAATCAGGCATTGGTGTGGTCAGTATTGAAAGAGTCTACACACATATAGATACACAGGGGGAGTAAAAGGAAAAAGATATCTTGCCTTTGTCATAATACATCTGGCCACCGGAGGGCAAAAGATCAAATGTAGTCTACCTGTCTCTCTCCATGGTGCTGACAACCAAGTAGATTTTGCTTAATTGGCAAGCACACTAAATATTTAGACTTAAAATAATAATAATAATAATTGTAAATTAAATATATTTGGGTTCTTTACTGTTTGTCAGATAACAGACATTTGACAACAACACATCACCTTGGGCTCTTAAAAAAAAAGAAAGTACAATAGGACATTTTTCCCATTTAATCGACTCAGCATGTGCTTGCTTTCTGTGGTTTTCACTGTAACTTGTGAAAGTAAAGAGACAATGATATGACTGAACATCTCTCATTTCTGTCATATAGGTTCTACATCTTGTTGTCATCGGGCCCTGTTTGACTCACTTTTCTGTAGTTTTCTCTTTGTCTCAGGTTTATGCTGGCATCTTTTTTTTATTAACCCCCCTTTTGTTTCAGGTTGTTGTGTGTCATTTTTTCTTTATCCTGCTTGGTATCCTGCTGTGGTATCCCATACCAGCCACACGCTTAACTATGATCAATAGTTTGTTTTTAATCACAAACAAACAAAATGTCTAAAGATGGCAGCTGAACCATCAAGGGAAATCTAAATAATCTATTTTTAACATTGACTACAAATCCACAATGAATTAAAGAAAGGAACATAACTTACATCACACAGGTACTGCTGGTTTGATGTTTTGTACCTCCTCCTCTGCTTCTTGCTACTCCCATCCCTCGTGTTTGCCCTCTACATGTCCGGGTCGAAATTAATGACCAGAATTGGCGGTTCAAGCAACATTATGTTGCAGCTGGTCAAAAGTGGCAGTGGTGTCTAGCTGGAGCTGGGCAAGGCGGCAACATAACTGGACTTAGCAGCCTTTACGAAGATAAAGTTAGCCAACAGCAGATGCAAAGAGAGCGAAAAGGACATTGACGGAGGAAGCTGAGAAAATAGTGACCTAGCAAGTGGCTCCGGGATGTTGGTGTTGTGTGAAATAAAACTCATTCTGCTTCTCATTCTGCTTTTGATCCCTTTGGAGGGAGAGAAATGAGAGAATGTCTATTTTTTTTATTTTTATTAAGATGTGGAAAAAGTCTGCCAGACATTTGCTCATTATTTGTGCTGTTGCCAGATACCACATTGTAGCTTCCTCTGGTTAACAGATTCACACTACAGATAAAAAGATATATGAAAATGCTGAAAATGTAAAACAAGTAGGGCATTTCTAGTGCACCTGATGTTCTTTATGAGCGAATAAAATCAAGTTGCAGCCTGTCCTGTCTGCTGTACTGTGTTGATTGTATACCTTGGTTTATCTGTGATTATGGCAGAAAGGAGGTGAGAGTTTAAATGAGGCACTGTGGCTGAGGAAGTGACAGAGAAAGAAAAGGCTGTGGTTTTTAACTGTCTGTCTCACAGTTTTGCATTACCTGAGTTGCCTATGAGAAAGTTTGTGTTGCAGATGTAATATGTAGTGTATGGATGGATTTAATTGAAAAAAACTTCGCTATAAAATATAATGAGACAGGAAGTGTTTATTTCTTAATCCATTTGTTTTTTTTAAATGTTGCACCAATGCCTTTATAACCAAATGCTCTGCATTTAAATATGCGCTATGACATTAGAAATGGTGCTGGATGTGTCCTTTAAAAGTATTTGTTAGAGAAACTTGTACTATATGCATAAAGGTGACCCCCTCAAATGTACATATAGTAGTAAGGAAAATACATCTTATAGTGCCCTTTGAGTAAAGGTAAGCTAGAGGCTTTTTGTGCAGCTGTATTTGCAGCTGAAGTGGAAACTCAACTCACACCTCAGTATAAAGACCTCTGTCATCTGAGTACTTTGTGTTCTTTAATTAGCTTCAAGGGCTCTGCACTTATAAAAGAGGAAGCAACTGTAGCTATTTCCAAACTTTTAAATACTATGTGATTTGGCACTGTAATTAAAATATTTTAATGGTCTTCGATGTATTAAAGAACAAAATACAACTCTTTTAAATATTATGAGCAGGAAGTCAGTCTATGAAGGCAACCATTGGGACAACAATGAAATTAATCAATTAGCATGATTCTATAAATTTTGCATGTTAAATAGTTTGAGAGAGTTTTGACTGCCAGTTCAGAATAAGGTCACTAACAGTACATCTATAACCCTTGAAGAAATGTAAAATACAAAAATACAAGTTGTAATTATCTCTGACATTAAGTAAAATATCTGAAGTATGCTATTGTGACTGTTTAAGTGCACCAATTTATTCTCAGCAGTGTTTACATGAGTCCTGCAGTAGTTGAATTAATATACTTTTTTAATGCAAAAACTAATACAAGAGATTTAAATACAGTAATCAGCATTAGAAGTCAGTAGTTTTTGTAAAACAAATATGATGCTGAGAACCTGATGTAGCATTCCATCACAACCATTTCATGAAATATCTCGAGACCAAACTCTACATTCAAAGTACAAAATATCCATATTATGTGTATTTCAACTATGCCTTCTTTTAACTTTTCACCACCGAGTGTCAATCAGCTAACCGGGCACACCAAGGGGCTACCTGTGTGTGTGTGTGTGTGTGTGTGTGTGTGTGTGTGTGTGTGTGTGTAAAACATGCAATTTGTTATTATGTGTGTGACAAATACCAAAAGCACAGGTAGTGACCCATAAGTTAAATTTGTTTTATAGCAGCCGACATTTTTATGTTGTAACTGTATTTAGAAACTGTTTCAGGTAAATGTAATTCACACAATGACTGGAACATCTCACACAGCAGATGACTTAGAAATGTTAAAATTGAAGACCATAGAAAATCTATACCAAAGATTTACAGTACATTGGACATTATTTTAAATTTGAGAAACCATAGTTGGACAGCAGTCTTTATCGGAGTACTGCAAGTTGTGGGTGACAACACAGTAAGCGCTTCCTTGATTCTCATCACACAACAAGACAAAAAGACAAGACGAGCAGAAACCAACTTCTGTCAGTGGAAAATTTACAGATCACTGTTCAGACACAAAGAAGACATCGCAACAGCGGTGAGTGAGAGTTTAAAATTGTTGTAAGGAGAAACATTGGAGTACTTTTTAATGATTTTATTGCTAAACAGAGTATGGCTTTTAATCAGTTTTCTGAAACGTTTTAAAAAAAGTAGCTACTACATACATGCTGTTCTTATTGAGCATGCTTCCTTTTATTTTCAAATTTACTTCAAACTAAAAACTAATCTTACATTTACTAATTTTACAGTGTATTAATGATGCAATAAAATAAATCATACATTATACATTACATTTGTCTTATGTGTTACAACAGAAAACAATGATTTCCCTGTACGTGATCTTCACGGCTCTGACAACAACAGCTCTGGGAAAAGGTACACTGCAACGTAAAACTATCTTACTGCAGTTAACAGTATGGTGTATAGACAATTATTCAGTAAAAAAAATGATTCAGTATTTTAAATCAGGCAAATTTACAAAGACAATCACTGACTTTACAATTGTAGATAAATAGATTAAATATTTATTTACAAACTAAGTATGACTTTGGCAGCAGAAATATAATGCCATTACATTGTTCTCATCAGTATTTTACATTAAGCATTTGATTGTTTTTTGTTTTGTTTTTTAGGGTCGATTGAATGCAATTTCTCTGAACGCTCTGGAGCTCAGCAGTGTTTTGGAGCCGTTGGACAGCTGTTGATTTTTCATTTGCCAAATGCAACAAATACAGAGGTTAAATTGACAAAGGATGATAAATATCTTATTTTAAAAATAGTCAAAAATCAGACAGTGACTCTGCACGAGGAATATGCAAATCAGTTTGAACGCTTCACCAATGGAACAATCAAACTAGGTAAAGCAATGAAGAGAGACTCTGGAGATTACCTGTTGGAAGAATTTGGATCTAACGGTGTTTCACTGAAAAAAGTGAAAGTCCATCTGGAAATACAAGGTAGGTTACAAAAAAGGTTTTTCTTAACCAAAAAAATTTGTTGAATTCTAATTCTCAATGTCTAAAACAGGGATTAAATAATATATTGTTAACCTGGGTAATATATGTGTAAAATATGTATTGTACATTTTATTTTAAAAAATGTCACTGAAATCACATGCTAAATACAGGCTTACAGCTTCCTATCTGATGAAAAAGTTTGAATAGTTGCAAAATTATTTGTCACAAAAATCTTTGAATCTACAATGAACAGAGCTGGTAGTGGATTTTACTTTTCATGTTGTGCTGTATACTATCTAAGTAACTCTGAATGTCTTCCAGCTCCAGTTTTAAAGCCAGCTGTGTCTCAGATGTGTTTGTCACAAGAAGAGATGAACATCAGCTGCTCCTCTGAGGGAGATGGAGTAGAGTTCATTTTGACTTTGGATGGTCACTCACTGATACAGAGCAGAGGCCACAGCCATTCCCCAAGCAACTGGACAGCAAACATGCAGTCAGTAGCTGGGAATAAAACTGAACTCAGAGTTTCAAATGTTACCATGAGCTTGCAAGGTCAGCTGACAGGACTCTTGCGGTGTATTGTTTGGAACAATGTCAGCCGAGATGAAACAGTTATTCACCTACAAAGCTGCAAAGGTACAGAGTTTAAGAGCCTTGCTTGTTTTGCTAAATATCAGTTCTTCACAACTATTTGACATTCTTTGTTCCAAAATTGTAAAAACCTAAATCAATTAAATTAACTCTCTTATTTTCTGACTGCATAATACTGCTTAGGTTTTAGAAGTACTGGTCCGAGATTTTTCATCTAACACATGAAGAATACCTGATGGGGGACAATAACGGACAAGAAATATTTGAGATACTTCTTCTGTCATCTAATTTGGTTTGATATTTGTGTTTCCTAGATTTTGTTTCTTCCTCTGTGATGTTGGCTGTGGTAGCTGGTGCTGTCACTCTCCTTCTCCTTGTGGCTCTGTGTCTTTGTAAAATGCATAACAAACCAAGACCCACAACTGTAATTAATGAGGGTAGGTAAAAAATTTTCTCCCATGTCTTCATCTGTCTCAATGAGGACCATAATGACATTTAGTTAGTTTACCAGTTTTATAGATCTTTAAATAATTTTATCTTCTTTACAGATAGCTTATGCATTAAATTAATTTAATACCATGACAATTTTTATGTTGAAAAAAACAACAACAAGATGTCCTCTGTGAGAGGCTACAACTCCAAAACACATTTCACATTTCACTTAATCTGTTTTAATTTTCCCAGGTAACTCTGAAGATGAGGTTGTCTACACAGAAGTTAGAGTGATAAAAAATACAAGGAAAACCAGATCCAACTCACACCTGAATGCAAGATAATTTTTATCCCTAAAACATTATTAAGCATTATTAAAGGTTCAGCGCATAATATTTCTGAGGATCTATCAACAGAAATGCAATTTATGAACCATAACTATGTTTTCAGTGGTGTGTAAAGACCTTACATAATAAACCGTTATGTTTTTATTACCTTACAATGAGCCATTTATATCTCCATAACCGTGGGCACCCACTTCCGTGGATGTCGCCACATTGCATTGTCATGTTTTTTACAGTAGCTGAAAATGGACAAACAGCCTACAGAGCGCGTTTCGACACTAAGTTGTTCTTTTTCTACTTCTGGTAGAATTCAGGCAGTGCAGACTATATATATATATATCACTATGTTGAATACGTACATTAGAAGAAGAAGTAGTAATAATATACTGCAGGAGTCTGCAAATAAATTGTGCATCAGAGCAATATTTCCAACCATTAGATCATTGATGAGAATATTATAATATTGATTTCCATCAGCACATTGTTCAGTTAGCTCAGTTGGTAAGGTGCAAGACTCACAACCCAGGGGCTGAGGGTTTGCTTCTACCTTGGAACTTTTTTTTCTTCTCTCTTCAAATGGATTCTGCAGCGAATGTTTCTCAGATCACGACATGTGCTGTAGTGTTTTGTTTCAGTGTTTGAACCGCATCCATCAACCTATGGACGCTTTTGCAATTCCCCAGTATCTCCAGGCAGACCTAAAAGCAGAGCCACTATTGGCTGTGTTTGTAATCCTGCAGGTCGCCCCCCTCAGGTATAAGTAGGCCTGAGCGCAGCCAGCACATCGTCTTTCCACAACTGTGTGAACAGTGATAGGAGGCGAAATACTCTCAACGTTGATGATTTTTCTCTCTTTTGTTCCTGAATACAGACTCAAACTCACTGGTCGAGCGCTACTCTGTTACCCTGTTTCTCGTTTTTTTGTTGTTGTTGTTGTTCTCTTTCTGTGTGCGCAAACACACATTCGCCTTTTTGGATCCCGAGGTTCTTTGCTGTTTAACGAGGGACCATTACCTGCAGAAGAAGTCGGACAGCTAAAACTCTGTGCTTAATAGGGAAGAAGACAACCAAGCGTCCTCCCTTCCCAAAATTTTAGTCGACTGGACTGTTTCCACCCATTGCTACCGCTGGAACAGTCACCGTGAACCCGCTACCAAGCGGTATCCCGGCCTCACCAGGATCTGATCCAAGAAATACCTCCGACGGACACATTCCCACTGAGAACTAGTGTTATCATCGTCGCTACCAAGAGCGACCAAGAGGCTTAACTAAAGTGTCTGGGCAGAAATATAGACGTAATTGTATTGGTTATGTGCTGAGCTTTATGGTGATTGTGGATTTATGGGCCGTCGCATCCATATTGTTTTTACATGCTCAAGCACGCTGTGTTAACATCATCCCGGCTACTTAACTACCTGGGGTTTTACAGATTTCAGCCGTCTGTGAAAGTGATAGCTAAATATCCTTTATCAGAGTCAAAGGCCTAGCCTGTGCTAGTGAATGCTCCGTGCACTAGCGGGTCTCTTCGATAATTGGTAGTTACGACATTATTACACAGCCTGAATTTCTGCTTGTGATACTGCTGTGTTTTATTTTCACGTGTGTACACAATCGCTAGGCTCTGCCCAAAGTAAAGCCAGCGTCCGCCCATTGAGGACAACTCATTGTGCATGCTGTATGGCAGGGTGTAGTTACGTTGTAAGTCACCGTGATTATTAAACTCACAGACGTTATCTTGTATAATATCACTGTTTTCCCTGCTTTCCTTAAACTAATCACTCCACACACTCACTCACCACGTGACCGGCACGCTGCAATTTTTGTAGTTTTGCATAGCCTACAAAGAGAATAGACGCCATTAATGAGAATAGACGGCATAAATAGTGTTTATTTGCTATAGAGAATAAATCCTGTTATACGTTTAAGAAGTCGTTTGTGGTTATTGTATTGAATATTGTGACATCAGTTGGTTATGACTGCCAGTGTACGGACTCACTCTTCAAACTTACCTATCATTGAATGATAATGTTTGATTATTGACAATTTATAGGTGAATAAATCCTTTTTAGACTGATTTCATATTTGGTTATTGGTCCCTGATTCCAGGGTGGTGCCCCGCATTTATTAATGACAATTAATACATTTTGATATTAATAGTTTCATTAATATTTGTAGAATATCTCTGATCCTACGTGACCCCAACAACAGTAAACAAACTTCTTGCGCTTTTTGTTTATAGGCAAAACCACTAAAGTAGAAGTGATTGTGTGAGTAACTGTTGCTGTCATGACTGAAATCTATTTCAGCACTGCTATCAAAGCATTTATTTATTTATATTTTTTGCCGCTATCAAAACAACGTAATCTGGCAGCAGTTGGTGGGCAGTTTTGGCGATGGTCCATAATGACAGAGAGAATTTATGCGAGTTTCCCTTGTCAGTGTTTGAATAAACTTTATCTAATGTATGGTTTATAATGGACTGTGGTGCAGAAACAGTGACAATGTTACACACTCTTGGCTTACATTTTCCATGTTGTCTGTCAGTGGCCAAGTCACAATAACATATGGTTACACTGAATAATTATAAGCAAATATAATTTCTTAATAAATATACCTAAAGAAACCTCATTTCTTGACTGGCCACTCTCTGCTGTCTCAGTAGAGACACCTTTTGTGATGTGTCAGACACCGAAGCTGTCCTATGCTCTTTGAAAGGTTAGGGGGCAGAGGTAGACTGGACAGTCGGTTGCAATGCACAATCCTCACCACTAGATGTCACTAAATCTTACACACTGCAACATTAAGATCATTTTATTAGAGGCTAGAAAAAAGTAAAAACTAATTACCACTTTTAAAATGAAGTTGGTGCTTGTTTGTAATTAGGACACTTGTTACTATGTAATATTTTCACAGTTAATTAAATTTTAAATCATATTAAAATTGCGTTGTTTTTTTAAACAATCACACATTTTCTCCTACAAAATAACCATGCTTTTATATAGTTTTATTTTCTGTTATTTGACTTGTAGATGTGTGATATTGCAGATAATTTATTAAACTAGGGCTGCAGCTATCAATTTTTTTAGTAATCGATTAATCTATCGATTATTCCATCGATTCATCAGATAAAAAAAACAACTTTTGTTCGGCACCCCTGTAAGATTGCCGGGGTCAGCTATGACTCCTATCACTGCACAACCCAAACTCATGGACTAACCAGTCGAAGTACACTGAACTAATTGTGCCTTACCGTTGCTATTTTTAGTCCTAAATCACTGTAATAATCATATTTACATGCCATTATCCAGGTCGCCAATACCTTGCCGCCATCTTGGATTCTTCCCAGCTGCCCTATGACTTCTCCCCTATGGGAGCTGTAGAAGCCCAAGCAGTATGCAAAGATATATTAGCCATTCTCTTAGCACCATAATTATAGGCAACAGAGACACTGCTCTTTAGAGATCAACTGCAACAACAGAGGTTTAACCAGTATGGAAGATTTAATTGGACTTTAATATTTGTAACCCACAGAAGACAATCTACAAATGTGTACAATGATGCGTAAATATTTCACTATCTGCAAATGTGTATTTATACATTTGTGATGTGTAAAATCATATCCACAAAAATACAGGGCGATGTGTACACACAAAACTTTGTTGTACGCATTTGCAGATTACTTCATGTGAATTTGTGGGTCATTTGTGAATTTGTAACTTCCTTTTTACACATCTGTGTAATTATGTCCAATGTGTACTGCGGAGATCTGTAAACAGATTAATTTACTAGCTACACAAGCAGGTGGCAACAGCGACATTCTCTCCCAGGAATTGACAGAATATTCACAGCATGTACATTTATTTACTTTGTTGATGGTTAGCTCTACACCAGCTGGCATGAATGTAGCTCAAATTCACTGTAACATTTTATCTTCTTGAGCAAAACATATCTAATATACGAACATCCTAACTAGCCACCATATTGGTTTACGTTCTTAACTAGCCATTAAATATAGCCATAATTAACGTACATTTCCTTCTAGCCTTTATCTCCACTAGCAATCATGGTTTTTGTCAAATGCTTACATTACCATTACCTTGTTTCGGGTCACACACTGTACATGTTGTTTGTCTGTTTGTAACTTGAAATGATCTCAAACTTTGGATACTTTCTGCATCTTTCTCGGGCCTGTCTCGTGTCTTTGTCCTCCGCTCTTTTCTCTGTCTATGTCCATTGTGCAGTTAGCGCCATCGAATTACGTCTTCTTCTCCTCATGCTTACGCGCATTGTGCAACAGTAATAAATGTCCTTGCGAAACCGTTAATTGAATTAAACGAAGCATCGATGCAAAGAATTTGTGTCAACGCATTTTAGCAATCAATTTAATCGATGAATCGTTTCAGCCCTATATTAAACAGTGTTTTGACTTTACCTTGTATTTTTCAAGTTAACATATTGATAATATTGATGATTTCCTCTGGGGTTTTGTTCATTAAGGTTGCAACTGATGAAAACAAGTAGAGTATTTGGCTTTATAAGGATCTTTGGTTTGTAATTATTTAGTAATTTAACAATATAAAGTTTAACTCATGAGTTACATTTGGAGGATACACACTGTTCTTGTAGTTTCTAACAGTATGAAGGAAGCGCTGCAAGCAATGTAGTGATCATTTTTTACCACAAGATAGAGCCACAAAAACATGTTATTCACATAATAGTCATGAAACAATACCATGGTAGCATGGCTGTTCACTATAAATACTAGACATCATGTCGGAGGCACTAAACTCATAATGCATCTCCCTTAGTAGTTTCAGTAAGACCATTGCTTTGAAGTAGCAGGGATACCAAATAAAATCAAGTTTGTACTTTAGCAGATTGGATCTTGTTTAGCTTTCTCAACAGTGCAACATCATTGGGCAATGTGCTGCATTGGTGTAGATTATTATGTTTATACCCAAGAGTTTAAACTTTAGTATTACACACTACTGATCAGTGTGTTGGCATACACTATTGCTAAAACTGGCCATCCATCGCTGTGCAGTGTTTTGGTATGTGTTGAGTCATGAATCAAACTAGTCTTCCTGGAACATATTTCATCTTCTCACAAGTGCCAACACAGGCCATGTTATTTGTAATGCAGTA